GCAGCAACAGTCGTAGCCATCGTCGTCTGTGGTGGACGTAGTGGTGGTGGTGGTGGTGGTGGTGGTGGTGCTGGTAGTAGTAGTAGTAGTAGTAGTAGTAGTAGTAGTAGTAGCAGCAGTGGCAGTAGCAGTAGCAGTCTGCTGCTGCTGGTAGTGGTGTCGTGAAAGTGGCAGTGATCTGGAAGTGATTGTGGTGGTGGTATGGGTATTCGTAGTGGCTGCGGCCGTGGCAATGGCAGTGGCAGTTGCAGTCGTCGTCGTGGTCATGCTGCTGCTCTTGCTTGTTGTTGCTTGCCTTCTGATCACCCCTGCCATGCAATGTCGTGCAGGGCGACGGTCAAAAAAGAACAATCGGCTGGGAGCCTGGCAATGGTTCAGATCGGCTTGGAATGTTGCAAGCTTGCGGAACCTGCCAGAGTCTACGCAGTCTACAGGACATCCTGTGTAACGGGTAGAATGCTACCCCACCGCAGTCGAGATGACGCATGCTAGAATGCGGATCCTTTATGTTAACATCTTGATTGGGTTTGGGTGTCTTCGGGTTTTCCTCGAGGCATTTCGGTCGAACGAAATATTTACACGGGCAACATGACCCGTAACCCAGCAGCCCGGAGTCGATCCTTCCGCATGATCTCTGAAATCTTGCCTTTTTGTTGAAGCGGCCGCAGCTCAAGCCTCCATTTGCAATCGTCGATCCTCAACATACCTGAGCCCAAACTCAAGTCCGCACTTTGCCCCAGTGTAGCCCCGAAGTGGACAGACCGTAAGCCCTGCTCCTTGAACCACAAGCACGCCCGAAACTCTAGACCCGAGGCCCCGTGGCCGCATAGGCTTGGTTCACGTTTTAGGGGAGTTATCTTCAACTACCACATTACCATATTAGCAGGGGCATGCGGTACATTTACAGAGTTACAGATCTCTACCGTGGTTGTTAATTCGCTAAGAATCCGGTGCTTGGTTTACCAGTTTATCCTTACCCCCCCGAGCGAGGGAGGAATGTCAGGGTTTATATATCGCAATCCGACGGAGAGGTTGGTGTTGACATGGCTTATTGGGGATCTTAGGGCTTTCGTTTTCAGGGCACGTTCAGGGTGTAGGGTCGCAACAAAGAGCAGGACTGTTACTAGTGTTGGGCCGGGCTCATGATTCTGATGCTGACAGTATCAAAAAGCTCTGAGCATGTTGTTGCTTCAGGGCCTAGGGCTCTCAGATGTTGTTGCGGTTGTTTGTGGCATCACATTCCTGGTGCCATTCATTGGTCCTCTGGGTAAAGGCATGTAGAAACTCAAGCTACTTAGACCGAATTTTCGAGCATGCGGATATCCTGCACAACCGAAGCCTGCACTCAAAAGAAGGGAGGAAGATTGAAGCATCTCCACGCAGGTTTTATGGGAATTGGCTTCAAAGCCGTTTATAAGCGCTATGCACGTGTCGTCGTACATGATCGGCGCGGACCTCGGTCAGCGGGTGTCTGGTCCCCTTTGCTTCAGATGTGATGTGCCGACTGGAGCCTCATAGAAGCCCTGAAGTAGAAAGCACTGATTCGGGACACTTAGGTTTGTAAGGACCGGAACATGTAACATCAGCTTTTACATGTAGGCGTGGTTTTAGATTGTTAATGGCAACAGCTTGTCTTAACGATGCCACCACGAGTAGTAAAACCAAACGATGAGACTGTTCTAACTAAGACCCGGAAGTCCAGTTCAGTGCCGGGTGATCTGCAATATCGCCCAGGGCTGTCCATGTGGAGCCGAGTGGCTCACCGTCATGTCTGGGATTTCGTGACTGCGTCGGGGTGCATAGGGTGATGCGTCTCCCCTATAGTCTGGACATCCCTGGGAGCCACGTGCCTCGTACTCGCAGAAGATGCATGCAGAACCTCGGGACTCCTAACTACGGCTGCTATTGTATGATGAGATTCTTGTGATGAGTTTAAACGCGTATTCTTACCTTTACCATTAGGAGCACCATCATTGCTTGCCCTTCGCGTCGTCCCCCACCCGAAACTGCTACATGTAGAGGCCTTCTGGGGAAGTCAAGGATCGGAATGGGAGACCTGCAACTCGGCAGTGTCCGCAGGAAGTCGGCATGTTGTCATGTTCAGAGACCGATCGCTGCGGCATGTGGCTTCAAGTATCAGACAAGATAGAGTCAGAATCGTGACGCAGGCAGAGTTGAGCCATGCCAGCCCGCAGAGGAGGACGAGACAGCCGCAGTAGGCGGAGCCCCAGCTACAGGCGCAGAAGCCCGAGCTACAGGCGGGATGACAGGAGGGGCGGCGGAGGCGACCGAGGCCGGTCCCGCCGAGGAAGCCGAAGTCGCAGTGGAGGCCGCGGTGGCAGCAGGTATAGCCCCCCGCCACGTCGCACCCCGCCTCGAGACCGTCGCTTTAGCCGCAGCCGCAGCAGGCGTGAGCGCGAGGCGCAGAAGCGCCGTGAGGCTGAGAAGAAGAAGATGGAGAAGCGCATCCCGCCCCCAGCCGTCCGAGGTCCAGACAAGCCACAAATCACGGAGGAGCACAAGGCAAACTCGGTGGAGTTCAATGGCCGGTACTACGCAACCATCGATTTCACACCCCCGAACTCAGGTGGAGATTCCGCCGGTCAGAAAGCACGTATTCAGACCCTCGGCTCAATTAAGAGACCTGTAGACCACTCTAAGAGTACCCATAGGCCCCATACTAGTTCCTTTTTTGGGGCTCATATTTAGAATCCTATCATGTAATCCCAAAAAGGAACTACTATGGGGCCTATGGGAAAAAAGGCAAAGGAGTTTTCGGGGCTAAGGGTGGGAGTATGAGTGCCTCCACACTGAGCTTCTCTGGCTTTAGAGTGGAGGGTGGAGGCAGAGGGAGAGAGAGAGAGAGAGGGAGCGAGACTGGGAGACCTGGCCCGGGCTGCCTATACGAAGCCTAAGGCGGTGACCAGCTTGTGGTTTTTTTGTAACATGCTGCGCAATTGCAAGATCAGCCGAGGATGCCCTATGGCTGGGAGGTGGCGGACATCACCGACGACGTCCGAGACGCAGTTGTGAAGCTCTACACCTTCGGCACGGACCTTGCTTCTAGGCTGCACTGGGCAAGGTCTCTCTCATCTCGAGAGTGTGGGTTCCGATGGTCCATTGATCGTACCCCTCTGCCCGCCGCCGCACTTGCAGCATACCGTCGCGGATCCCATGCTTCTTTAGAAGCAACCTGAAATTCTGCATCCCGAAAGTCCACAAGCATGAAAGCCCTGAGCCTACAGCCCCCCTGCAACCAGACAGGATCTTTACTCCATCGACTTAGACGGTGAGCCTGACAAACCTTTGAGCCCCCAACCCCGACGCCCTAAATCTGTGCCCGACATCGCCGCTGAGACCGCGCAATTTGTGAACCCTTCAGCACCCTCAATGTAGTTCGAGTCTCCCGGGCACTGTAAGGGAAGACCCGAAGCATTTCTCCCTCTTGAAACCCCTATAAGCCCTATAAACTCCAAGCCCTAAACTGCCTAACTCCCGTAAACATTAATCATTAAACCATCTTGCAAGCTCTAAATCTCAAGGTGGTGGGAGAGGGCGGGAAGGCTTTCCACACAGCTGCTCGGCAAATCACTTCCGACAGTAGGACTTATACTGTTGGGCCTCAGTTGGGCTTAGGTTTGAGTGCAGAGTGGTGTTGTGGGTTTAGTCCTAGGCTTAGTTTGTGAGTTACGTGCAAATGCTCTCCCCAAACCCCTACAAAGCGAACATATCACCTTCTCTAAAGTAGGCAGTCTCAGGTAAGGGGGGGGTTATTGACGGAGTAAAAATTCATGTGATGACGGCCATGGTGTGTCATAGGAATGATTCCTTCTGAAGTTCGAAGACTGATGTGATGAGTTTGGCCAGTGTCTTGTGGTGATGAGCATGCGTGCTTCTACTCAGTTTCTACTCACCTGATGGGTAGCATGCCGTTTTGAGCCACCTGCAAGTACTGTCTGCAAACACTCGCCCTGGCTGCAAGCTTCACACAATATGCACGATGATGCCGCCCCGGAGTTGTACTCACTGTAACAAGGCCGCAGCGCAGAAAACGAACGATGCCGAAGCTCAGCCTAGACATGCGGATAACCTATACAGCGTCAACAGTGACAAAGTGACTTTCACAATTCCGTCAACATGCAGCTACTCGAGGCCAAAGGAGCACGTCCAGGGGCTCTCGAGATGATTTGGGACTATAAGCTGCTTTCTGTGCAAAGCGGGTGCTTCCAATAGCTAGACTCGTTCTGGGTGTAACATTCCTTCAGGGCCTTTAAGGTCTGCCCGCCATATATTTGGAGCTTGGACGTAGCATCGAGGGTTGTCGCGAATTGTGAGTGCACTGGTGCACTGCCGCGGTTTGGGCTGCATGGTAGTTCCAATCGACGACAGTCCTTATCACTGAAGATATTTCTGCTGCGAATGTAAGTTCAATTCTAGCAGCTTCTAGCAGTATGTAATGCAATCATGTAGCTCATTTCAGGTATGGGGTTGAACGCCGGCGTAAAGCTGCATCCAGCTTGGTGTCTGATACATCCACCATCTTCCGAAGAGTTGAGGGCCTCCTATGTCTCGTAGTCGCTTCTTATGCTGTTCTTTGCATGTATCATGTCTTGCCATGGCCCTAAACCCTAAACCCTAAACCCTAAACCATGATGACAGTCAATCTTTGAAGGGCTTGGAGTCGGTCAGGATTTCGGCCTGAGGGGCCTGCGGTCATGATCCTTACGTCGTATCCTTACCCGAGGGTCCATGTACCCAAA